TATGGCCCGGGAATGATGTTATAGACAATCAAATGGCCCTTGTTAGAGACAAGGACCCCACTCCTGGTCTCAGGGAAAAGAGGTCAGGCACTGCGTGTTTTAAAATTCTTGCAGCAGAAAATCACTGTAGAAAGGGAGCCCTGTGCACTGCTGGTGGGCATGCAGCCTGGTGCATGGAGTTTCCTCAAAAAATGAAAAATGGGACTGCCATTTGACCCAGTGACCACACTGCTAGGAATAAATCCTACGAAGCCTGAAACACCAATCAGAAAGAATGTCACAGCAGCAGTTTACAATAGCTAAGATCTGTAAACAGCCCAAGTGCCCATCAGCAGCCGAGTGGATAAAAAGCTGTGGCACATCTACATCATGGGATATGTTGCAGCAATAAAGAAGAAAACCCTGTGAGACAGCATGGAGGACGTGGAGAGCACTACGCTGAGAGAAATAAGTCAATGTGAGGAAGACAAGTATCACATGATCTCACTCATATGTGGAATCTAATGAACAAAATAGAACCAGAGACACAGAAGCATAAAACAGACTGGAATCTCAGAGGGAAGGGGGCAGTTGGTGGGGGGAGAGGGAGGACAAGCGGGAAGAGATTAACCAAACAGCTGACTTGCATGTGTGCGTGGTCCACGGACAGACAATAGGGGTAAAGGCCTGGGAGGGGGTGGGAGCGGGAGGAGGAGGCAATTGGAAAGAAAGGGGACATATGTAATACTTTCAATAATAAAGATAAACATTTAAAATTGTGCACTTTCTTTTTTTCGCATTCTTTCTTAAAATGCATCTTCGCCATTGGAAGGATTACAGATGTCCCCTTGGTTTGTTTGCTTGTTTTTTCCCACCGACCCTGGCACCTGTCCCTCCCGGGCCTTCCCCACTCCCTGTCTGAGTCCTTGGGCTGTGCAGACATGCATGTAAATTAATAAAGATACATTTAAAGAGTCACTGTACACGAAGATAGCGCCAGGGAACACGTCACTCTCAGGGCCGGGGGTTATTATGAAGGACGTACCTCAGGAGCAGCCCGATGGGGTGTGTGTAGGGTAGGGGTGGGGGACCCTGAGCCTCCACTCTCCCCAGTCTCCACGACCCAACCCGGGTGCCCCCACAAGCTCTCCGCGGGCTGTTCACGGGCTCTGTTAGGCAGGGGACAGGGTTCCCACCTCTCACCACAGGCTGGCTCCCCTGGCAACCAGCCCACCCTCAGGTGCTTCCAGGGTCCCCTCATTAACAAGACCGAGGACACCTGCTCACTCTGCTCAGGTGGGGATGTGAGCTCCCCATCAGAAACCGGGAAGACCTAACAGCGCACGTTTCCTCTGATAAATCGCAAAAGCTCCGCAGGCAGCTGACTGCCCCCGGAGGAGAGGCCCAGGTGGGAACTGCTCAGGGGCTGGAACCCCAGCCGCACGGGGCCGCCCAGAGCCACAGCAGAGAGAGGGTGTGGGCGCCTGGCCAGGCAGAGGTGAGGCTTGGCAGGAAGGGTCCGGCTTCAGGAGACAGGCCTGGACTGTAGTTGGCAGGTCTCTCCACTAGATGGCACTCACATCCTAACTTTCCCTCACAATTTTATTCTGATGAAAAAGTGCAGTATTTTTAGACTGCTGAAGAGCACAAACAGGACTCTGACCTAGCATTCGCCTAGCTGATGTATGCACACACACACACACACAGGCCTGTGCAGAGGGGAAGAGGGTGGAGACGCAGTCCTGGAGCCTGGTGCCAAACTGCTGTGCTGCATACAAAGGCTGCTCTCCGTCCTACAGCCGCATCCTGGCCTCCCGGGCAGGTGGTTAGGACGCTAACGCCTGTGCCAGGGGCCTGAGTTGGAGGGCAGCTTTAGAAGCCAGATGGCCTGCGTACAAGCCCTGAACCTACTACTGCCTGGCTCTGGGCCTTTCCAACCTCCAGCGCCCTTCTTCGTGAAGTGCCACTGCCTTGGAAGGGTGTACTGTGGGAGGCAAGGTAAAGGCCCACAGAGAGGCCCGTCCTAATTCCCGGGACCTGGGACCGTTACCTTATGGTGCCCCCCCCCCCCCAACCCTGTCCCCCGCCAGTTGGAAATCCGTGCAAATAGCTCTGACCCAGCGAAGACCGGGCACCGCGGTGACTCTCCGTGTCTGGTCCTGGGGCGCGTGCTCAGTGCCTTTCTGACTCTATGGCAGGGGTGCCGACTTCCTCCTTTTCCTTCTCCGGTCTCAGGGCCCTCGCCCAGCCCCTCCTTCCCTGTGCCCAGCTCCCCGCCCTGAGATGGCAGGTGTCAACTTTGATCGAATAATTGAATTGATACCCTTCCCCTGGGCACTGACCTACAGGCACTCAGACCACATTCCCTCTCCCCTCCAGACTTTCCCAGAATCCAGACCCTCACAGAGAGTTCTCCGCCCAGAAAAAGCCGCCTAGCCCTTTAAAAACCTCCGACTCCCTGCCTTGGTGGGCTGGTGCCATTTGGGGCTCAGCCCAGCTGGTATCCCGATGATCTGACCAATTCATAATCCCTCCCCACATTGGCCTCCTTAGGCGACCCTCACAGCAGGGCCCTGCCCACCTCCCTGCCCTCCTCTCTTCTCTGTCTTCTCTCCTCTCTTCTCTGTCTTCTCTTCACTCATGGTCTGCAGTCAGCCGAGCCTCAGTACCCTCCGTCCTCCCTCCCCCGGGCTGGGATTGCTCTGCTGCCCCCTTCTCTGGCACTGGCACTGGGAGAGATGCCTGTGGAACCGGCTGCTGGGCCTCCAGCGGGAGGCTCTCCCTGCCCTTCAGCCCCAGGACGGACAGAGCAGAGGCGAACGCTGCTGCCCGGCTTGCATTCGCTCCCGGCTCCCAGTGGCGGCTTGTGCTGGCTGGCCTGAGCCTCAGGAAGACGCTGGGCCACCTGAGCCTGGGAAGGCCCACGCCATGCTGGTCACCGTGTCCGATGGCTGGGTGCCCAGGCTGCCCTGAGACCCAGGACGGCCTGGCACAGTCAGGTCACAGCCACTGCTTCCCAGAGGAACGTCTCCCACGGACACACTGTGGGACCCCAGACCTCAGGCACACGTTCCCATCCACAGGGCGGCCTCCTCAAGCCGCTGCCCTCCCCGAAGGCCTTCCCTGTCCCCAGGGAGCCAGTCCCTGCGGAGCAGGCCAGATGTGCCAGCATCAGTCCCCAGGGGGCAGCTCGCAGCATGGCTGCACACCCTGCCTCCTCACTCCCTGGGCGGGAGACATCTCTGAGACCTGCTCCCCACCGTCAGAGCTGCGGGACCTGAGTTCCGGTGCCCAGCAGCAGCCGGCTCGCAGCAACCCTGACTGCTCCCTTCTCTACGCCCTGCGGGCGGTGTGTTAGGGGCAGATAGAATGTGGGACCAGCTGTAATTGTAAGAAATATTGACCATGCTGTTAACCGGGACTGTTTTGTTCTGATTAGAGAAGGCCTATCTAACCTGCTGGGAGTTGCATGTGGGACCTGGGAGCCCACCTGGAAACGCAGCCCATCCTCCCCATCCGGGAGCTGCCTATTGTCTTGGAAAGACGAGCAACCTTGTGGCAGAAACCAGAGATGCCAGCCCTTGGCAAACCCCCAGCCCCTGGCAAACCCCCAGCCGCATTGCCTGTAAACTGTAACCATCACACCCATTTTTCATGCCCGTTCTGATCCTTTGCCTACTTTCCCACGTGACCTCTGTCCTGGACCCCACAGGAGCACTGGCTTACAGAGGGACGAAGAGCAGATGTTTGAGGGTGACCTGCTCTTTCCCGTGCTGCCGGCAGGATTGACAATAATGCTCACAGGTGATTCAACCTGTCTCTGCTGAATTGGCTCGAGTGTGACGGTAGTCCGGACCTTGGCTGTCCGGCTTCAGTGCCTCCTATGCAGGGCTCAGAGCGGCTCCGGCTCTGCTCCCAGGCCAGAGGGGTGTCGGGCGGGACGCCACACGCTGCCTGCACCGCCTGTCCCTCTGAGCAGATCGGCTCAGGCACCCACGGGCTCAGTAACAGTAACATTTCAAAATGTTACTGGGAGCTTCAGAGTGGTTTTGTGACTCTACTGCGATAGCAATTCTCTGTTTAATCATTCCTTCACAGTGACAGGGAGCACACGACATTTTCAGGGGGCTAGCAATCTGAATCTGCGCCACTAACCTGCCTTGCATGGCACACTCTTGTAGCTGATAATTAACTCCACCTGTCAAAGAATGTAGGCGACAGCAGCCTGCTCTGTACTGAGTTAATCAGTGTCCCGAAAGCACATTCCTGTCAGTTAGCCTGTAGTCCAGTCACTGCCCTTCCTTAATTATCTGGTCTTGCAAGACTGGTTTACCTAAATACTCCCATTTACAGAGGCCATAAACCATGAACAATATACAACCCCCAGAGGAAGTTCTTAGCACTGGCGCCAGGCCAGGCCTTTAGGTGTGGTCTCACGCCCCCCATCTCAACACCTGGGGCTTTTTGCAAAGCCTGAAAAAGGTCTGGAAGTCCCATCCATATTTGGGGACAAAGAAACCAAAGGGTATAAAGAAAGCCTCCTCCTTATTGGCTTGCTCAGGATTTGGAAACAGGCTCCCCTGAGTCACGGTGCTGGTGCATCTGGAAATAAAGGGTTCCCCCTGTGTCTCGGAGCGCTCCCGTGTGTTTTCTGTTGTCTGTGAATCCCGCACTAGCTGAATCGCAGTCCCTTCGGAGCTCCTGCTGCAGCTGTGCTGACGCTCTGGCTGCTGCGGCAGCCTGTGTGCAGGTCACCTGCACTGGGGGTTTGGACCTTCACCCTAGGACGCCCTCGGGATCGGTTTCTTCCCTGTGTTTACTGTGAATTAAAAAACCCATCAAAAGCTAATCACACCATGATTGATCGGATTTTCTGATTTCCCCCAAATTCACCACATCCTCTAGATTTGACCAAATTCCCGAGTCGTGAAAAGAGATGGTGCTGGAGTTTCATGAAGGAGCTCTGCCTTCCCAGGCTCAGGCATGGCAACACCCCCATGGGGCCTCCGGGGCCCACCTACCTGGGCTGATCTCAAAGAGGTGCTTCCCCATGTCCTCAGGGCCAGGAAGACGCTGGGCCACCTGCGTCCCTTGCAGAGAAATGTGTCCCTAAAGGAGAGAGAAAAACACAGACACAGCAGCATGAGAGGACTGGGAAAGGTCTGCAGGAATATGGGGGGGGGGGGGCAGGAAGGGGGAATGCGAGGGCTGCTGGTAGGCTGGGTGCCAGGCGGAGTGCAGGGTTCCTCCAAGCAGGTGTCAGGCTCTGCAGAGGCCCTGCAGGGTCCCCAGTGGGATGGGCAGCACACAGAGCCTCTGCCCACAGGCACTGCCAGCACTGCCCAGAGCTGTTACTCCCCTGGTGGTGGGGTGGGGGTAGGGCAGGTTCCCCTTAAGTGGAGTGCTCTCTGTTCCAATGTTCCCTTCCTGGTTGAAGAGGGTCAGGGAGAGAAAGGTTGGCGCACTGAGCTGGGTGACGCGGGTAAAGGAGCAGCAGATCTGTGCAACTCTAGCTGCCCTCCTGGCCAGGGTGACCATTCACTGTGTAAGGGCAGTCGGCTGTGACACACAGGGACCCAGCACACCTGGTGCTAAGTGCCTGGAATGCCTGTGTGTGTACATTACTGGGACCAGTAAGTAGCTGAGCCAGGATTTGAACCCAGTTACGTTTCAGGGATGGGGTTGAAATGGGTTTGCCGTGAAGAGAACCAAAAGTGTTGTCAAAGCCACACGCAGTCTGAGTGGGCACACCTGAGCACAGATGGAAAGGAGAAAGACCTCACCGAGGTCAGTCACTAACAGAAGAGAGGCACCCGCTCTCTAGCCCTGGAATCTGGTAGCAGGGCTGAAAGGTGCCCGGAAAGGGCAGGGCGTCAGAATGGGCAGGCAGACATCTGTAAAGACTATGATGAAAAGACATGTAAGGAGTCAGTCTGAAGCACCCAACTGAAACACTCGGGCAGGTCTCCACCTTGAACGGGCACCAGGATCCCCCAGGGCTTGCTGAAACACGGAGCACCTAGCCTGGTGGTTGGTGTAAAGGAGAAGCAGGCCCTCCGAGAAAAAAAAGCTTCCTGATGTGTAGTGCTTGCCAATCCTGTGCTCTAAGTGCCCACCCCACAAGACAGACTCCAAGACACAACTGAGCACGGTGCTGTGACGAGCTGCACACCAGTGCTTCCACCACACAGATACAGTAACCTCCAGAGCACAGGTAAATGAAGTAAAACAACCAGAGTGCTGGAAGCCAGTTCCAGCATGTCATAATTGCAAGAGTTTCATCAAAAGGTCGATGTAATTTGGGGACTCAACAAGGGCTCAGTCACATATGTTATTGCCTATTGGAATGGCTAACGGCATTTCCCCCAAATCCGAATAGGATGATTGTTTGCTGCCAGACAGCTCAGGGCATCTTAATTTACACGTTATTGCCTCCTACTGGCCAAATACCTGAACAGCTGTAGGCTATTCCCCTGATAATGGCCTCTGTACAAAACCCTGGCCTTTGAAGTGTATATCTCCACCTTGTTTTAGGACAATTTGTGTTAATAAAAAGCAAGGGGTCCTGAGACAAAGAGAACTTAGCTCTTTTAGCTAAAGCTCCTTTGACTCCCCAATGTCTTTTAAAATTATCTTTCATCTCTGGACGCTTATTTAATTTACCCAAAGCCCCTTCACCAGATTCCAGAGCCTTCTAGATGCCAGATCAGGACCCACTGGCGTTAAATGTTGCCCAACATCCAGCATTACCAGAGAGTGATACATTTTGAGTATTTAAACCTATTTGTTTTTATTTTTTATTTTTATTGTTTTTCAGAGATAGAGGAAAGGAGAGGGAGATAAAGATCAATGTGTGAGCAAAACATCAATTGACTGCCTCTTGCATGCCCCCAACTGGGGACTGAGTCTAAACCTGGGAATGCGCCCTGACTGGTAATTGAACCAGCAACCTTTCAGTGCATGGAATGATGCACAACCAACTGATACACTGGCCAGGGCTGGACCTTTATTTTTAATATGATTTATTTAATTATAAGCTGTAGGATTTAATTTCTAATAAGGGAAGTGTTTAACAACTGGCTGGCAAGCATACCACTGATATACCATCCTGGGTTTCTTCTTCTGCAGGTCTGGGCAAAGTAAGAGAGTTTGCACTTAGAGAAAGTAGCCAAAGGAAGTTGCCTTCCCCAGAAGCCTACTCAGCACCCACCTCCTCATGTATAAAAGGATCCACAATGTGAGGTGGTGGTGAGAACTGGGCGATTGGGTATTTTCCCACAGGCCTTGGAGAGCTGGGTCTGAGCTTCTATGCACCTGGACTCTCCCAGGTCTTAAGGACAAGGACGGCTCACCTTAAGCCCCTCAGACAGTGCCCACGACCAGAAGGATGTGGGGTTTCTGTGAGGAGCACAAAGTGAGTGTTAGCACTTTGGAGGGGCCAGATGGCCCCCTTACTGCAGTGCTTGGCAAGAGGCAGGGCACACTGTGCATAGCACCTAACAGATGGGCACCTGGGCACCAGGAGGGAGTGTGCAGACTCCAGGCAAACTGCAGCTTCTCAAAGGTGAGGCCCTTTCCTGTCCATTGTGTCTGACCGAGCTTGGGCACATGTGCTCTATTTTGCTCCTTACTCAGGCTGCACGTGTCCTGAGAGGCTGCAGTTACCTAATGAGTTTCCAGTTCCACACCAATGCAGCCCGTTGGTGTAAGCGACTAATGGATGAAGAGTGTGTGATTCTGTCTGCATTCAATGGGAATCCATTCCCAGGCCTGCTGCTGTCTGACCATAGCTCCCGGCTCCCCACCTTCGTGTCCATGCCAGCCTGAGGGGTCTGTGGACGGCAGGTGGAGCCACAACCTCCAGAATCTCATTTGCCCAGAGAGAACAGCCCCGGGGAAATGGGTAAGGCTGCCCAGCAGAGGGCCTTTAGGAGACAGCATATTTCTTATATTAGGGCCCAGTTAGCAGTTTTACTAAAAATCCCTAATTTCTGTGGCGTATTAAGTGCAAACTCCAGAAACACTATAGGCAGGGGAGCAGCTTGTGGCTAGCCTTGCTCCCCTCATTTGACTAAACCCAGCAGTGCGGAACCCAGGCTGCCTCCCCTTGGGGATGGTGAAGAGATTTGAAAACTAGAAAGCCCCCATGGTCAGATTCTGTGTTTATTAGTCAGCTATTGCTATATTGTAAATTATCCTACAACTTAGAACTTGAAAGAACAATAAACATTTATTCTCCTATAGGATCCCTGTAGGTCAGGAATTTTGGAATGGCTTAGCTGAGTGGGTTTAGCACAGGATCTTTTATGAAGTGACAGTCAAGATGTTGGGCGGGGCTGCAGACACCTGACAGCTTCAGAGAGGTCAGAGGATATGTTCGCAGAAGGCTCCTTCAATGGGGGAATAGATGAAAAAAAAGAACACCCTCAAATCAAATGTACATTATGCAAATGAAAAATACAGTGGATGGGATGAACAAATTTGACATTGCGATGAAAAGATTAAAGAACTTGACTGTATAGTCATAGAAACTACTCAAAATAAAACACACTGGGAAAATAGAATTTAAAAAATGAACAAACATCAGTGAGAGGACAGACAACTTCGAGCAGTCTAATATATGTGTAATTGGGATGCCTGAAAAGGACGAGGGGACTGAAAATTATCTGAATAAATAATGGCTGAAACTTCTTCAAATTTATGAACAGTATAAATCCACAGATATAAGAAGCCCACTGAGCCCCAAGTACAAGAAACAGGAAGAAAAGTATATGAAATTAAAGGGCTGAAACTCGATTATGAAAACAATCTCTTAAAAGTAGCCAAGGAAAATTGTACAATATGTACAGAGAAAAAGGTAAGGATGGCAGCAGATTTCTTAAAAGAAGCAATGAGAACAATATCATTAAAGTATTGAAAGAAAAATCTGTCAACCTAGTTTTCTGAATCCAGTGAAAATATTCCTCAAGAATGAGGGCTAAGTAAAGACCTTTAAGATATTAAAAAGCTTAAATAATGAGGTACAATAGACTCACATGAGAAGACTTGTTAAAGGCAATAAGGCAGAAGAAAAGTAATATTCTCTGGAAATAAAAGATTTACCAAAAAGAATGGAGATTACTGGAATGGCAAGTATATGAATAAATATATAAAATTTTGTCTTATTATTTAAATCTCTTTAAAATGTAACTGCCTGATTAAATAAAAATAAGTAATAGTGTCCTACCTGGTTTGGCTCAGTGGATGGAGCATGGGCCTGAGGACCAAAGGGTACCGGGTTCAATTTCAGTCAAGGGTACATACCTTGGTTGCAGGCTCCTCCCTGGCCCAGGCCACGGTAGGGACCCATGCAGGAGGCAACCATTCGATGTATTTCTCTCACACTGATGTTTCTGTCTTTTCCTCTCTCTTACAATCTACCTAAAAATCAATGAAAAAATATTCTCAGGTGAAGATTAACAACAACAAGAAAATAGTATAGTGTTGGGTTTATCACATATGTAAAAGCAACATGTATATCAATAATAGCACAAAGAATTGGAGGGAATAAATGTAAGTGTACTGTTTAAGTTTATTTTATGATACATAAGATGATATATAATTTGAAGATAGTCCATGAAAAGTTAAAATTGTTTACTAAAACCCTAAAGCAACCACTAATATAATAAAATAAAATGTTAAAGCTAAGCCAGCAAATAAGATAAAATGCAATATATATATATATATAAAGTTTATGCACCAAAATACATGAAGCAAGAATTGACAAAACTTTAAGAAGAAATAGGAAATAAACAATCATGGTAAAAAATTTCAATATGTCTTTATCAATAATTGACAGGACAAATAGACAAAAAATTAGTAAGGATATAGATGACCTGGAAAAACACTATCAACCAACTTGACCTCCTCACTGCCTCATTTATTCTTTTCAAACAGACATATAGCTTTTACTAAGATGGGCATAAACAAGTCTCAATAAATGAAAGAAAATTCAAATACAACATATATTATTGGACCACAATAGAATTTTAAGTTAAAAGTAAATAACAGAAAGATTTCTGGGAAATTCTCCAATAATTGAAAACCAATTAATGCACTTCTAAATAATT